TCAATTGAAAAACAAATTTAATATTGTAATCAGCCAAGTTCAAAATCACTAATTAACTATATTATTCATTTTAAAATTTAATTACCATGCCTCTTCCTAAAAATGTTTTCAACTCCAAATAAGTATAAGAGATTTCTTTATAAAGAGTAAGTAGACATTAGTTTATAATCCTCAATTATATATAATTGGTAATAAAATATTAGGTAAAATGACACTTTTACAGACGTATTTAACTGTTATATAATATATTACAGTTAATATTTTAATAAATTTTACTAATAAATGCTTTTGAAAATAAATATAAGTAACAATTTGCATTCAATTCTTTAACGCCATCTATTTTTTTAAAAATATTACTAGTGTTGTTAAAAAGCCCGATTTGGATAGATTCTTCAAAACGGCCCGATTAAGATTTTAGCCAAAATAATATAAGGTATGCATCGAGATTTGGCCAATAGATTTCCAAGCATTCCTGCCAGCTATGAGCAAAATCTTTAGGCTTACGTAATGCTATTTTGGTTATGATCTTAATCGGGCCGTTTTTTAAAATCGACCCTAATCTGGCTTTCTAACAACACTTTCATCATATAATGGATGTAATAAATTAGATATCTTTTCTTCTCTTTTTTACGTGTTTTTAGGAAAGTTATTTTTTTCTTATTTGTAAAACAATTTTAAGTTAAATTTTTAATACGAGTATATTTTTGATATTATTACAAACTACTATTATTTTAAGATATAATATACCAATTAGAGGTGGTGCGAGAATAATATATAAAATCTTAATTGCTTTCATCATATCATATCATATCACTCTAGTTCTTATTTTATAGTTACAAAATGTTTCATTTCTAATATGGCATCCATGCCGTGTAAATAACTTATGGCTTCAATATATTTGCAAAATTTCTTCTAAAGATTTTTAGTGTTTTTGTTTTATCAATTTATATAACATAATAAATTCTGATATGAGTTAACATCGCGAGTGTCATGGCTATGACTGCAAATTAACCAACATATATTATTTGTGTAGCTAAGTAATTTAAGATTATTACTGCAGCTGCTAATGCATATTTTAGATAAGCAATAAAGGTCAACTTGTAGTCGTTTATATATATCACATAGAAGATGATTTTTTAGAAATTTAATATTTCACAACAATTTTCTCGAATACTTATCTAGCTTCCATCATGTTATCTAAAAGGCTGTATGAATTGGATTGGTCGTTTATATTCACTTCTTCAAGAATTGTTAATTTGGTTAGGCCTGTAAATTTTTCCTTATTAGTCCATTCCATTCTATAAAACATTGTCTTAAATGGTAAGAGAGAGTTATATTAGTTTCATTACCTTTTGTCAATGTAAGTTGCTAAGAATTATATTATATTATGTTATTTTTAAAAACCAATAGCAATTTATTTATATCAGCAATCGAGAATATTTTATACTGTAATAAATAGATTTTGTAATATTATTTTTAGAAATGTCTTATATTGTTTTAATTATTTATATGCTAGTTTATTTTGTATGCATAATATAATAAATGACAAAATATGAAATTCAGAATAATTGTTCAGAGCTAGCAAATTAAAAAAAAATATAAATATAAAACCCAGAAGCCCCCATACCCCCCCCCCCTCCATAAATTTTTTTTAGTTGAGCCCCCTGAGATTGTAAAGGCTAGCGACGCCCCTGCACCAAATGTGACTAATGAAGAGGAGATTATTTTTATATCTTATATATTTTTTTTATTATATAGTCATAATATTTTTTTAGAATATATTTATTTAAATTCTGTGCTCATATGAAAAAATGAACATTTAAATATTTTTAATATAAAAAGCGTTAAACAAAAGTACATTAAAAGGCATCTTAAGAAGTACTGAAACAGATACAAATACCTATAAAATAGTATCTAGCGATCGATACTTTTTACTAAAGTGAACCACATTTTTGTATCTAGCTACTTTAACAATTTTGATATTCATCACGGACGTCACTAGCCTTAACATAGGGGGCCCGACTAAAAAATATCAGGTTTTTTAAAAAATATATTATTACTTTTTAAATTGAAATTTACAAACTCTGAACTAATATTCAAATTTCATATTTTGTCAATTAGCATATAAATAATATATAAAACAATACAAGACATTTGATAAGCTAAAGATAATGTTTTTAATACAAAATATTTATTTATTACAGTATTAAATATTAGAGATTACAAAGTATAATATCAAAGAGCGTTAAATTGATTTCGAATATAAAAAAATTTTGCAAGTAAAGAATTAATTTTAAAGTGATAAAAAAATATTCTTTCTTTCCTTCATTAACCTTTATATGGATTGTTGCCACCGAAAATCAAGCTACAGCATCCTCATCAGAATCCATGCCTGTATTTAATTTTATTTTTCATTACATTAGAAAATTTAATACCATAAGATATCTTCAGATTGAGCCTCACATTTAGCTTCTATTGTTTTAAAAATAAAATATTTATAATTTACTTATTTTTTTTCACTTAACTTTTTTGCTTTCAATGTTTATATCTCTTAAAACTACAATCAATTAGTCTTCATTTATTATCTAAAGCAGAGTTTGAAATTAAAAAACTATATTTTAAATGTATTTGTTCAACTCCAACTCTTTCATCGCCTCATCTTCCTTTGTCTAAAGTATCATCAACATCAGTATTGCTTCTATTTCCATAATTTAAAGCTTCTCAAAATCAATAGCTCTTCTTTCTTCATTATCTAATAAATATAAAATAAATGAGTTAAAGATGTTTTAATTAAATATACTTTGTTCAACATCAATATTGTTTCCATTTCCATTATTTAAAGAATTTATCTCAAAATCAATATCTCTTCGTTCTTTATTATCTTATAAATATAAAATAAATGAGTAAAAGATGTTTTAATTAAGTATACTTTTACTCCAACTCTTTCATTGCCTTCTCTTCCTTTATCTAAAATATTATCAATATTGCTTCCATTTCCATTATGTAAATTAAAGCATTCATCAATCGATCTATACTTTCTTCATTATCTAATATAAAATAAATGAGTAAAAGATGTGTTTATTAAATATACTTAGAGCTTTAACAAAATAGTTTCGTATGTTTGGATCTTAAAAAGAGTTATAGTAAATTAAATAATTTAAAAATGAGTAATATAGTTGATTAGTGATTTTGAACTCGGTTAACACAAATAACAATATTAAATTGGATTTATTTTATCTCCAATTAATAAATGATCATAGTTATTTAATTAGGGTTATAAAATAATTTAATATTAAAAATCAATTAAGGTTCAAATGATTGATTGACTTTAGATATTATTATTACATATGTAAATACTTTTTATTTGTCATATAATATGTCATATATAATATCTATATAATATCGAATTTTAAAAACTAATAATTATATAATATATAGTATGTATAATTCTAAAATAATAATATACTTATAAAAAATATATAATTATAACTATGCGTAATATTGATATTCCATTTTTAACACTGAATTTGATAGCAATTGTTAACTTAGTGAAAATATAATTTATACTATTAAACAAACTAATAATAAAAATAGCACTCGTTTAATAAAAAATTTTATAGTCTTATTAATTTTTTTTAAAAATAATATCAAATCTATATGTAATATATAATAAGATTCTTAAAAAAATTCGTTCAGGGGGCTATTTAAATTTTGTTTAGAGCTCGAGACCCTTCATTAGTGATAATTTGCTTTGACCCAATTTGGTGCTCTGGCTTGCTCTGAGCACGAACCCGGGGTTCAGGCCGAGGGTTCAGACCCATGGTTTAGACTCGGGGTTCAGAAGAATAATGTTATTCCAATTAATTCAAATAAAAATTATAGTTTAGAAATAGCAAAACGTATTGGCATTTTCTGGGGCTAGGTAGTAAAGCCCTGCAAGCAACTTAGCTTAGAGTTACCAAAAAATAGGATTAAAATGAGTTATTATGTTGGTTAGCCGAGCGATTATTTCCAGCTATACCATCCTAGATGTTATGTTTCATTAAATCATCACAACACCGAAAAATAAAAATTAATAAACTTAACTTCAAAAATATAAAAAAAAGGAAATTTTATTTTTAATAAATCATTTTTAAAATTAATAGTGAAAGTTAAATTTAATAAAAAAAAATTTCTATATAAAAATAACATAATCAATAATTGGCGTAAAAAAAAATTTAATAAATAATTTTAAAAATATAAAAAAACACATGCTTATTGTTGAGGATAATTATGTTTATGTCAAAGTTTAGAAAATAATGTGTTCAAAAGTTGCTTGTAGTAGATATCTTATAAATCCCACAAAGGTTTTGAAGAGTGTTAAATATATAAACTAATTATATATGTGAATTTAACATAGTCTGGAAGAGATAAAATGGCTAAGTCAAATTGACTCCAATCTAAATCACCAAGCTTTAATTTATAATTAGAATGAATAATAAGATTTAAGATTAGTAAATGAGATTTATTTTTTCTTAGTTTTCGTTTATCCTTAACCATGGTTCGGAAACACGGGTTTGAACCCTGGGTATGTGCTCGGGGTTCGTGCTCAGAGTTGGTTTAGTCGATTTTCTAGACCCAAACCCCGGGTTTGGGTTTTACACAACCAATTAACAACACTACCCCTCATGCACCCCCTAGTGACGCTACTGGTATTCATTAAGGACACTTATTCCCCCTCCCCAAAAACAGGAAAAATGTTTAGTAACGATATAAATTCATATTTTGAAATATATTTCTATTTTAATAAACTAAAATTTTATGCATAATTAAATTATTAATTTTCATATTTATAGTGAATATTAATTTTTAATTAGAAAGTAATATGCTGCTGTCATCGCTATTTTTTTAATAAAAGATATATCGCGCGTTCAGCTATCCCTACAATAGATTGTGATGCGCTACTCGAATATCTTTGCAATTATCTTTGATTTTTTACAATTTTTTTTAAAAAAAATAAGAATATATTTTAGAAGCTTAACCTACATGCCTTTAATGCCCGAAGATATCGATTATGACAGCGAATCAGAGTCTAACCCACAGTGGTTGATCGATAAAAGATGCAATGTAATTCAATTATACAACTATTTTATACATAAATCAAATAACTATTTCTTATTTACTAACTATCGAAATTGTGGATTTGCTTTCTTTATACTATTATATTTTTTGGTTTCCCCTTCATCATATTTTATCAATTCGAAAAATCTTCCAAAATTAATTTGTATTATTTTCTTCATTTATAACTTTAAATATTTTTAAATTTTTTTTAAAATGCTATGCCATTCAGAAATAAATTTTTTCGACTTAAGATTTGAGTTATAAAAAAAATGAATAAAGCGAGGCTTAGGTAAGAGGTATTATAATATAGTATATTGCACGAGATTGATTTTTAATAAACATTGCTCAGTGATCAAATCTAGTTCGCTCGCAATATGTGATCCCACACTGTCATATAAATTTAATGGAAAAAACTAGAACCTGAATTTATTCTTATGAAATATTTTTATAGGTATTTATTTACATAATTGAATAAATAATTTCCAAAAGTTAATCGACGACTTTACCGATGTGGATGATTTTGAAAAGGAGTTTATGAAGATTTGGAATCGATTCATGATGAGCAATAAAGGCAACATGTATTAATTAAAATTTTTTATATACATAACTTCTTTATTAATTTTATTTTGTTACTCAGCAAGATTTTTTAAATATGGTATCTATTCTTTATTTATTAGTGATAGCCTATTAGTTGAAATTTTTTGGCCGGGCTCAAAAAATTCATAGAAATGTTATTTTTATCATTTATAGAAATAAAAGGATAATTATAACTTCTTATGGATTAGGACGCGATTAAGGATTTTATTTAACTTTGTAAAAATGCGTTTAATTTATATTTTTAATTGTAATGGACCTAGCTCGTGATTAAAAATAGAATAATAATTTGGGTTGGGTCTGGGAATTTTTTTTATCATTTATTGGCTGTCCTCTGATATCTTTTCTTCGCTTTACGATCTTGGGCGTTGCTAATTTTAAAGTCCATTGTCTTCATACACCCGTTATCACCTCCATCCGCGTCTTCGTTGGTCTTCCTGAGGCATTGATCCCATTACTTCCAATGAAGCGCATCTCTTAACCCAATCATCTTTCATTTTTCGTCCAACATTCTCAAACCATCTCAATCTATTTCTTCTCGTCACAACTCCAATCTCTTCTTTACCAACTTTTTCCCGCATTTCGTTGCTTGTTTTTCTCTTTTATAATCTGACTATTCTCATCGCCGTTTTTTCCAGTTTAACTTTATGCGCTGCTTTCATTACCGTTTCGCTATAGATTATACAGTTTCTCTCACAGCATACATAAAATTTTCTTTAGCGTCAGAGCTGCGTTTTTATCTGTTAGAATAGAAGACACCATTATCATGAACCCTATTCACGCATGTCTTGGTAAAGTCACGTTTGTTTTATTAAACTCCTATTCATCACTACATTTTTTATGCACCCCATTGGATTGAATTTCTAGTAACATCTTTCCCATACACCACGTGGCCAAGAGTCCGTTTTTTCCCGATCTTTCACCCAATCATCCCCTTAATATTTCTTTCGTTTACTATAATATTTTTTGCTTCTATAACCGTTTTTCATATAATTATCTTATACTTTGGCTCTGCTTCATTTGGGCCAGCAATACAAGATCATCAGCTTATAGAAGTTCTCAAGATAGTCCTCCAAGAACCTTTCACGTCACCCTCAAGACTGATCCTTGATGTAGACCCTAACAACCGTTCGAGCATCCTCGTACATTGCTATCAGTGCCAAAACTAACCATTCCACTATCTAATTTTCTCCTCCAAGTCTACAAAAGCATAATAAAGTGTCCTTTTCTTACCTTATACTTTTCTTGAATTTGTCTTACCACGAAAATTGCAACTGAAGTTCCTTTTCCATGTGTAAAACAAACTGCATATCATTGATTTCCGTTTGATCTCTAATTCTCTTCTCTAAGTTTCTCTCAAAAACTTTTATTTCATGCTCCAGAATCTGAATTGAAAGGTATGAGCCACAATCTAAGGAATTTTAGCTCTCTGATATATACCAATGCTTTTGGTATAAAGGTCGATAGATTTGCAAGTATTATAGACAAGAATATTCTACTTTGACCCTTTTAGAAATATTTATCGGTTTTTTCTTTTGCTTTAAGAAAATGTCTCTTGCTAGAAATATCTTTTTTTTCCCCACGGAAAATGACAATTGTACTTGGATGATTGATGTTCCTTACCTTTAAACCTTATGATTAATTTTGAAAACTTTTATTTTTGAAAATTCAGAGCAAAAATATCAAATTTTTTGTTTTATGTGAAATTTTATTTTCCAGTCATGGTTTTCACCTATTGCTTATTTATATTTGAACAAAATTGTGATTTCATTATGAAAGATTTTTTATGCATAAAAATCACAAAATATTTTCTACAAAAAAAGATTTGAATTTTAGGTAATTTTTTTTGAGCATTGTCAAAAGATTTTAGAGATTAAAGATCTTCGAAGATTTTTTATTTTGAAGAGCATCTCTTTTTGAATAGTATATCTGTATAGTTTCAAAAAATATATTTAGATAAAAGATTTAAAAAAATTTGTTTAGCCTTCATTGAACTATTTTATAAAAAAGGAAAATTTAATTTTTAATTATATAACGTCACTTTAGAATCAGAGTTGTCTATATTAGCTTTTTTTAAAAAAAAGATTGGGGTTTGATTGAAAGAATGAGGCTATTATTATATTATATTATTAATTTTTACAAAAATTGATATTTTAAGATTTCTTGAGTTATAGGGAGCATATTTTTTATTAACATATTTTTAAAATAGTATTTTTTGAATATATATATTAATTTATCAAAATCTTTTAATATTTCTTCCCTCCATTCAAATTCTTACATTCTTCCTGGGAGCGATTGAAATATGGCAAATTATAGTATTTTATTAACAAGTAAATGATCCTTTTGTGTTAGTATTCTCCTTTTTGATAGATTAATAAATTTCACATCTTAGTTTTAATAAGGTTCATATTATTTGTTATATTAAACTTATGTTTTAATAAGGTTCAAATTATTTGTTATATTAAACTTGTTATTTTTAAAAAATTATTATAATTATAAAAAACATTAAGGTATCTTGGCGAATGCCACATGTTCGAAGCTTGCAAAAAGTTTATATCACTAAACAATTATTCTATTCGCAGCAAAAATTTGTCCAAGAATTTGATATTCCATTTATGCCAATTATACCATTTCGAACTCATATCATCCCAACAACATTCCCAACTTTGGAAGACATTCACCGATACAAATATTTAATAATCTATAATTAATAACTTTTTGAAATAATTTTTGTAATAAATCGTTTAATAATTATATATATCTTTTATACTTTCCTCCTATAGAATTTCTCAGGTAAAAATTGTTCTTTAACCTTTTGCATTTTGCTCATTATATAAAATATTAATTTTTTACCAAAATAACTGCCCCTTTGACATGGTCCTCTATATTAATAATACTTAGGCATACTTTAAAATGAATGTTAATTTTTCCTGCATAATTTTTTTTTACGATACAAACTGTTTGTTACATGAGATTCACATATATATATTATATTGTAATATATGATTTTTGATGGATCAATTTATAATTGAATTGTACATAATATACATAAATATGTTTTTTTATAACAAATATCTTTTTTTATTGATAAAATCTCAAAATTCAATCTTATCTATTATATATATTGATATATGACATACCACATTGTTGAATAATAAAATCCCCTTACTGAAACCACATATTTGCCAAAATAATTTACATCGATAAGATTTCTTGATATTTGACTGATTAAATAATTCCTTCAGCAAAACAAATTTACCTACCCTATCATCTAACCCACTAACAACATTTTTTGACAATTTGAAGGCTCGTCTAATAGAGGCAGGTTTAGACTTCATCTTACTTTTATAAAATTCTTTGCAATTGAAAATTCAAACTCAAATCTGTTTTCATCACTGAAAATTATCTGCGTCCATTTGGATTTACCCCAGGATTAATGATCTTTTGTTTATTTGAACCTTTTTTGCTTTTGATGGCTTATTAACAAAAGCTTTTTCTTTGCCCAAATGTCAAATTTAATAAGACTATTAAATGTGCCTTATAAAATGAAAAACTCATAAAATACATTTTTCTACTGCAAGCACTAATAGAATGATTCCTTTTGAGCAATGAATTCCATTCGGAAGTAATATCATTGGTATATGAATATCTATTTTCCATCAATGGATTATTCTAACATTTCAAATCTCATTGGGCTGTAACAATCTCTTTTTCGTTGAGCACTGATAGATTGTATATTTTTGTATCTATATATGATATCACGAGTTGTTTCATGATTAATCATCAATATTTAAGAAATATTTGTCATAGAGTCCCATCTTTATGCAATTTGATTTTTTTCTATTCAAAGGAGCTGAATAATTGTGCATTATTAATCAAAAAAATTTTAAGCACAAAAGAATAGGAGACGATAATATTAAACATGAGGACAGAAAATACACACCTTTAACTTATCTGAACATTCGTAAATTTAAGTAATGCGATCAATTTGATTCCTGAATTTTTAGTGGCGTTTATTTTGATTTATATACTGTTTACTAAATTATAAATATTTATATATTTTATTGATTTAATCCTTAATATGGAATGTAAACTTCTATAAGATTTATATATAAAATTTATGGCGATGTTCGATTATGGGTAGTATATTGAATTTGATTACTAAACATTTTTATATGCACTAACCATTGCCTAAAAATTGGCCTCGGAGTATTGATCCCCGGTAGATATGCCATTCCAAAAAATAACCCCCCCCCCCCACCCCCACTTACTTTTATTTGTGGCTGTATTTCGCAAATCATTTTAAAGACAAATTGAAAATATTAGAAGATGAATGTTAAACGATCCTTTATATGATTTTCCAATTGATTAATTGATATTATTTTTTATAAATCTGCCGAGTCCTTTAAAGGGTTTGTAAAAAAATGTGTCCGACTTCACAGGTTTGTAGTTTTTTTATTTTTTAATCCTGACCCGTTTTAAATGGGCTCGCTCCGTTTTCGTTTATCGCATTTAACAATAATACATTTCAAGTTTTTATCGACACCCTATCATATCAGTAAAAATATTTTTAACATTGAATAGGCCTTTACCAGTGCTAGATGGAATAGTATTGTTATATTTTATAAATAATGGATATTCTGGAAATTCGAAAATAGTTTTAAGTTATATTTTTTTCTACAATTTTCTAGCATTGAACCAAAATAATGAATAATCTCTCTTTTTCGAAGGAAAATCAATAATCCTTTAACAATTTCTTGAATCAGCTCCCCCTTCTTTTCCTTATTCTCTGGGTTTTGGATCCAATCTCATTCAAGAGGTAAATATGAGTGGGGAATGGTAGATATTATAAACCATTATTATATATTGCTCTAATCTTTAAAACAAATTAAAAAATTATATATCTTTTTAAAAGAAATTTTTTTTATCAACTGGAGGAAATGTCTCCCTGACCTGAGACTACACTTGTATCGATTTTGCAGCGAAGAATAACCTCTCATTTTCTGCCCAAACATCTTAATAACAATAGTCACTAACACCTTAGGCATGTTCGGAAATGAGGCACTCAAAATATAAATAATTCCTATTGTGAATGCTGTACTTTGAAAATCAAATTTTAAGAGTTTACATTAACTAAGAATTTATTTTAATTTACGAATAAATTTGATTATAAATTTAAATATAGTGGTTTAAAATATAGATTATATATTAATACCAAGCTAGAATAATCTCCTTAATAGGCTTTTAACCTTTTTTAAGATGAAAAGACATTTTATTAGTGCAGTTACTAATCTGTAAGTTAGGTAAAGTAAATAATAATATTTTGATATTAGGCATCTAAAGTGAAATTACACATGGAAAGGGCCTGCAAAGCATTTTTCTGATCTCTAAGAATACTCTATTCCGTCAATATTATTATACCAAAATTTGACATCACAAAATTTCGCCTATACAATTACGAGAATGTCACGGCTATTCACCCCTTACATCACAATGAATGGGACGACTTTGACCCCAGTAATGGACATGCACTTAGCATTCCAAAAAGCACTTATTATCATAGAGGTATTACAAGAACCAATCAGAATTTGATACTATGCAAACAATGCGGTGTATACTGACTCCTCAGATACTCACATAGGCATCTCCTTCTGGGGCATAGGTAATAGTCAACATCTTTCCAGGAAGTAGCTCTTATGTTTAACGTACCGTTACACGCCCATATTAACGCAAAAGAAACATTAGCTATGGGTTGTGTCGCCCTGTTAGCAATTAACAAGGATTGAGCACTGCCTGTTACCTTCACCAATTCGACGGTGGCCTATCGTGTACAGGAAGAGAGACTGAAGATCTCCATTAATAAAAATAATTATAACGCAAAGCCTGTAAAAACTTGGATTACCGAACTTTACGGCGGTTTGTCAGAACATACATTAGGTCCCAACAGACAGACAATGGTTCGGTGATAGAGCAGCACTAATTTTTTTTCCAACAGAGACACAAACAGCCTTAGAACAAGTGGCTGTTGACTTAGAATACCAGCGCTAGCTGTTCGGGACGTAAATTCTGGACACCCTACTTATTCAGGATTGTCACAACCATCTACCGAGACATGGAATTTGCAAATCTTAATCCGCACCGAGGAACTATGACGGCTGAACATCAAAAATCGAAAGCAACAATGGGACAAGAACGAATCATCCTAAAAATATTATTATACTTGCATATCCCATTATTATCGTCACTTTTTTGTGCTAAATTAAAATTGTTTATTTCGTGTTTTATTTTCTAATACTAACTAGGTTCGAATTTTTGATGTTAATAAAATTATAGAATAGCCAAAGTCATAAAGACCAAGGCGTTCGGTTGATTTCTAGCCACCAATTTCATAGAAGAGGGGGTAGGTTATATAAATCAGCTGCAATAACAATGTCAATGTAAAACTCTAAGATTTTATTAATATCCTCACGTGTTTCAAGTGTAATCAACAATTCAGCTCCAATAGGCAAAAGAAAATAAATGTTTTTTAAAATAAAATTATTAGTAACTAATAAATCCTTCCTTTAATTGAAATAAAAATGTATCAATCAGTTGAATAAAAATATTATTTTATATAAATCCTCAATCGTAGATGCATCAATATTTGTTAGATTGTCTTCTAGGTTTAAAAATTTAAAACCCAAAGTTTAGGCTGTGATATCGTTACACTCTCATCTTGTAAACTCTATTAGCTCCCTGTCGACAGTCTAGGTCACCACCCTCTTTACTACCGCTTCACAAAAGGCCGCCACCCACGCCACCAAGCAGTAAAATCGATTATTGCCATAACTCTCTATTCAGCCAATATTCCATCAACTTTGGAACCTATAAGTCTTAATCTTGGGAACAATATCAGGCCTAATGGAATGACACTTAGCAAGGGAATCCTGCTAGCCTAGAATTATACATGCGTTGTTTGCACTTTCCTTTAGCTCCACATCCTTGGTCAGAGCGGAAATTAGAAAAATTAATAAATATATTAACATTCCCAATATCATTTTAACCCCTATTGTATACAATCGGCACTTTTGAACCTAGAGCCTTGGATTCAAAGTACTCGGCCAAAAAAAGCGCGTAATTTTTCAACGAATTTCAATGGAAATTTATAGGTCAATCAATCCACGGTGCCATAACCTAGAGACATTTCCTCACTTTTGCTTTAAATATATTCTTTTTACTTTTTTAAAAATATATTTTATTTATATTGCTTATATTTTTAAATATATATCTTTTTTTAAAAAATAAAGTTAATTTTATTTTTTAATACGGAACACAAATCATAATTTAAATAAAGATTATAATTATAAATTAATATAGTATTCATTTAATTGAAGCAAGATTCGATGCATGAGAAATATTAGGTTAGGAATCCTCTCTCTTCTAAGGGATCATGGTAGAACCATCAGGTCGTTTACCATCGGATTTGTAAAGGCCAGTGGGCTCGAGGGTTGGCGGGATGATAGCAGATTTCAATTTGAATGTCTAATGAATTTGCCTCTACAACGCTTGCATCGCAAATAGTGACGACTTTTAGAGTTGACAAGTGTAGTGATAGAGTATCACCATATCGCAATTGAATCTAAGTCCAATTGCGTGATCATCGTTTCTTAGGAGTTGGTCAAGAATTTGCTATGGGAAATCCTCGAGTAATTCTTAGCTACTACCTGCGGAAATGGAGGAGTAGAGAATGGTCCTTGAATTGGCTCTTCGATTTAAGGTATGCAACGGAGTTGCCAACTAGAGGCTTATCCCAGTAAATCTGTAGTGTTGATGGGGAAGGATCAACTAATGAGAGAGATTTCCAGATATCAATTGCCTGCAGAAGCAAGAGGTCAAGATTGTTAGTGTGTGTATGATGGGCTCGCAAGACAGGAGAGAGGATATGAACGCACTAACGGAAAGTAGCAAGAGCGACTTTATACCAATGCCACCGGATTTGGTTGGTAAGGTAGCCTGCAACCAAGATACATCT